TTTCCTTCAGACTTCTGACTTTAATCTGAGTTCTGACTATAATCTCATAATTTTGACTAATCTCAGATTTCTGACTTTAATCTCAGCATTCTGACTTTAATCTCAGAATTCTGACTTTAATCTCAGCGTTCTGACTTTTTCCCCCCTCGAATTTTGACTTTATTCTCAGCATTCTGACTTTAATCTCAGAATTTTGACTTTAATATCAGAGTTCTGACTTTTTTTTCCTCAGAATTCTGACTGCAATCTCAGAATTCTCCCTTAAACAACACTGATTGGTTGGGTGGCACCTGGTTTTCTGGTGTTGGTCCGCTGGATTTTCTACAGTCTGATCTACCAGGACACTGTGGAGCACCTTATGCTTCCTTCAGCAGGACTTCATATCTGCCCTCATTGCAGAAGGAATCACAAGCTGGTTTGGGAAGCACAGTGGTACTTTGCTTATTTAGCTAGTAGAGTCTGTGGAGTTTTATCAAGAGGAAGATGAGAGATGTTAGAAACCTGACATTTCAGTTCAAATTATACTTTCATTTTATTATGGTACTCCAACTTTACGAAACATTAAACTTTAGGTTTTCAGCATCTAAACTTGTTATAATTAAAATTACAATGAAATGAAATGCTCGAGATATTTCACAGTTTAATTGAAAGTATTGTTACTGAAAAGGCGTAGAGAACCAAATTCAAGTAAAACAAAAAATACTGTTTGAAAAAGAAAAGGCCTTTTTTTCCATCTGTAGTCATTTACAGGATCCAGTTTTGCTTTTTCTCCACTCAAAGAAATCGTGAGACGAATGTGTTTTATCTCAAATGTTTATTGAATCGTTGGGCCCAGGCCTTTGACACATCAGAAAGCTCCCACACAGTCACTGCCGAAAGTCAGCAAGGGTTCATGTTGTCGTTTCAATACTGTCTAAAGCTGGAAGGGAAGGGGACGGGGCAATTCCAGTACAATCTTTAGTTCAGCATCATGCACAGCCAGAGGAGCAGCATGCATGTTCAGAGTGATCGAATGGAGCGTCGGCCTCTTACAGTAGTGTTATCTGATTACATTACACCGAGAATCTCACTGCAAATGAAGACGATATGTGGTTTAATCAGCCGTCTTCAGCTTCAGCACACACCAAAACACTCTGCTACCCACAATGCTTTACACTCACCATTATACTGGAATTATAGAAGGCTCAAAACACAAAGAAAGGGGTGATGATAAGAGTTATAATCAGGTCCCACTTGAAGCTCTCAAACAGCGGGGGTTAACATGGCACTCTGTTACTCACCAAAGCGGTAAGACAACAGGAAGGAGAAGAAAACTGCTCCAAGTAAGGAGAAATTAATCACCCAGCACCTCACCAAGTGCAAACGCGCACGATTTAATGTTAATGCTCTGCTCTTCCCTACACTCCCCCATCTGCAACGCTCCCTGCATAATTTCTGCAGAGATCCTCAAAACGTAGATGAAGGGAAAACAAAACGAACGGACCCAGAGCCGTTACCATGACATTCCTCTGCTGTACAAATTGTTAAAAGATCCTATAGGTTAGCTAAATGTGAGCTGGCCCTTTAAATTATGTACAAAGTTAAACCCACCAGTTATCATTTCAGCAGTAAATGAAATGCAAACTGTCACTTTCTTTTTGCTCCAGAAAGTAACTTAATAACCAAAAACAGCTTGTTTAAGGTAACGTATATATATATATATAATATATATTTTTATGTCAAGGTTAAACAAAACTCTACAAAGCAAAAAAAAGAGAAAAAAAAAAAGGCATATGTACACGATCACCCTGTCCCAGATAATTAAAAAATAAAGGAGCCAAATCCTGGCCTTTAACTACTTCATCCCTTACATCCCTCTCTTCTCCTACTGTGCTTCAGGTGCTGTCAGAAAGCACACAGGAGGTAATAAATGGTTCTGATGGCATCTGAGAGCTTGTAAAACACGCCACAGTTGCTTCGTTAGATGAAGGCCAAGATGCAACTAAAGCAGCTGCTGGGATGCATGTTGATTTGGATGCAGAGCCCAGATGTTGCAGCCGTAACACCAGGGACAGCCGTGGAGGCGTCTTTATAAAGGCATGCAACCATAGTTCTGATGCTCCTGTTCGTACCGCTTATCTTAATGTCTTTGATGACATTCAGTGTGTGCATGTTTAATTAGGATAAGCCTGTGTGCGTATCCACCTCTCAATTAGCCTGCCTTAGTTACAATGCATTGGATTTGTTCTTTCGGTGATGAACTCATGTGGCAACTTAAAAAATCAGCAGCATCTATTATTTTTTTCTGACATCTTTTGAAAGAAATAAAACATATTAAATGTTCTGAGGGGGGGCAGAGGAGCTGACGACTTCCTGGTGAGCTGATGTGGGTTTGTTTTGTTTTTTTATTGATTTGATCCTCAGTTTTTGTTCAAAAACCAGAGCAGCTGTTGGCGATGGGTCCATTAGGCAGACGCCGTCTGGATGCTTCCCCAGACTCGGTCCTGGCGGCTCCGTCCTTGCCCTTCTGTGCGCCCCCCTCAGGCCTCCTGCGGCGCGGGCCTCTTCAGGTCCCTGATCTGTTTGATTAAGTAAGTCTTTTCGTCGTTGAACTGTTCGTCCTCTGTTCTGTCATTCTGGAACTTGCTGAGAAACTCGATGAGTTTGGTCTGGTTCTTCAGCAGGATGTCCAGGATGGGCTGAGTTTTGTTGGGGTTGGCCACAAACACCTGCAAGTAGACAAGGAGAAAGCAACGAGGGTCAATAGAGTAGATGTATTTTCTGTTTTAATAGAGCATGAAAACAGCATCCCCCACAGCCTGATGCTGCCAGCAAACACTTTGATTATGACCATAATGTGTTCTGGTTGATCTGAAAGTACAGAGAAGCTACGGTTTTTATATACTTTGGTAAATCCAACATGTACATTGCACATAACAATGAAATTAATGACTTCTTACTGACAGATTAAAAGAAAACATCTATCCTTAAACTGACAGTCAGCCAGAGGAAAGACACTAAAACGGTGGCGATCAGGAGTCCAGCATGTTGGACCGACTGAAGCCAGCGAATGGGGGACTGAAACACAGAGAGAAAATGGCCGATCTTAAAAGAAACCAAATATGGAGCGCTAAATTGTGTGGGCAGAAGAAATCAAAAATACACATGCAGTAAGTGGGCGTGTTGTGGGTGATCTACACAAATTTTTCCTGCAAAGGATAAGACATGCAAATAGGTTCAGTTCCGCTCCAATTATACGAGTAGATTGCATGAGGTACTGGTAGTTGGGGAGGGGGGCTGTAAAAGGAAGGAGCAGTCCTCATCAAATGGGATAATAATTATGATTATCATAGAAAACATTATAGCCATAATAATGATGAATATTGTTTATAGCAGATTTTACGTAAATATCTAATTCTACTACAAAGAAAGGCAGAAAAGATTTAAAAGAACGAAAATAAATCATAAAACCCAGAAAAGTTTCCTTTTTCCGTTCCTTGACTCCAAATCTATTTAATTCAGTTTATTTCTTTAGCTCCAATTCACAACAAGTCATCTCAACACACTTTACAGTACAACCAGATCATCCAGTCAAATTGATTTACAGTTTTCTATCTAAGGAAAACCAGTTGATTGCCTCAACTCATTGACTCGAAGGCAATCTCTCTCACTAAGCATGCTTGTAGCGACAGTGGAGAGGAAAAACTCCCTTTTAACAGGAAGAAACCTCCAGCAGAACCAGGCTCAGTGTGAGCGGCCATCTGCCGAGGCCGACTGGGGTTCAAGGAGACAGAAGCAG